TGAAAACTATATCTAAGTGACTCAAATAGATATGATAATCCCTACATATTTTTTTAAAAAGCAAATTTTTCACTCATGTATTCTCATTGTCACTGTGGAATCACTCTGAATGACCCGTACTTGGAAATGTGTCTTACTGGTCCATTTTCTTACTTGAATACATAAAAATTCAAAGGTTTGGATTTTATTAGTGAACAAAACCGAGAAAACAAACATAAAGAAGGATAATATTTCCTGTATTTCCTGGTAATAAAATTCAAGCATTTAAGGTCAAATGTGTACCAGCTTTATTCTTCTACTTTCTAAACACCTAGGAATTTTCAGGTTGGTTAATGTTGACTGTCACTCAGTCAAATTGTAGACCGTGGCTTGCTTCATCTGAGTAGTCATAGCTGCCAGACATGTAGCTTCCTGTAGAGTCCAGGCTAAAGATCACAAAGTCACCTTCATCTTTCACTTCCCTTGTGGAACCCCCTCTTTGTGGGTTGTTTTTTTTTAAAAAAACATCCTCTTTCACTAAAGATCAAGAGCAGAAGCCAATTCTTCCAGTTATTAATCAGAGCATCATTTAGTCTCACTGGTTTGGAGTAGACAAAGCATCCCTTTTTGGGCAACGTATGTCCTTCATTATCACAAGAGAATCGAACATTTAGTACATGACCAGATAATGTCAAAATTTGTTTGATGTTTTGTGATAACAATAAAATAGAAAATCTTGTCATGTAAATCTTTATGTTATCATTATTCTAGACTATTTCAAGACTGGAAATTAAACTCAAGCCTTGAAACTATCTTTCCCTGTAGGAGAGTAAGCCATCTCTCTTCTTTTCTGAATATTCTCCTCTCTGATCTTGGCGAAAAATTTATGGGGTACCTCTTTCTGCTGGTACAGTCAGCATATTACAGAGTGTCCAAAAAAAATGGGAACATGGAAACTCTAAAAAGCCAGCCAATCCAAAACTGGATAAGTTCTGATGTTTTGCACTGAACTTTAGAGCTGCAATGAAGTCCAGGGTCCTTCCAAGCTGTAAATCTAACAGGGGACCTTTTGCCTAAAGCTGAGATTCCACAGGTAAACAAGAACTATGTCATGCACAAAAGGAGATCAAAACCAAATCAAAACAAAAACTATATACCTACCTGGAAATAGAATTGGATGAATAATTTTTAAAAACTTCCTTTATGATTTTGTAATCAGTCTAGCCCTTATATGAGTTTCCAGTCCAAATTTATACTACCTGTGTTATCTGAAACATCTCAACAAGAACTGGATTAAAGTAAGCCCAGCTTTACTTTTTACTTGCTGTGAGCAGAAGCAAGATACTGTCCTCTCCAGAAGATCTCAAATACAAAAAACAACCTCAAAGAATTCCCACTAATAAATTTCCAAGGAAATGGACAGCTCTCATTTAAAATTCAGGCAACACAAAGAACAGACTTTTTGATGAGAATCAGCAAAAATAACAGACAGCTGAAAGAAATATACAAAATTTTAGATATTAGAATAATTAGGCACAAACTATATTTGATAGTTTGTAAAGGACTTTTTTCAAAGAAGCCTTAATATATGAGTAGGAAAGAGGAAAACTTTAAAAAGAAAACAGAGCTTCTCGAAGTAAGTAGTATAATAACTGAAATTAAAACTTGATAAACATGAATATTTGATAATATTCAGGAATTATTGCTAATTAGTGTAATAGTGATATTCAAGGAAGTGTCTTTATTTAGGAGAGTTGCATGCTAAAGTGTTTATTAATTAAGGCTTATGACATCTGCAACTTATTTTCAAAAGGCTTTAAAAAAAAAAAATGGGAAGATAGGTTGTTGGATGGATATAATGGGAAGAATAAAGAGATGGAGAGTTATACAGACAGATGGACAAGGAATGGCTGGACAGATGGATAGACAGATGGGTGGATAAAACAACAGAGAAATGTGAAGACTTAAATCTGGCTGGGTGGATATGTAGGTGTTCATTGGACTATTCTTTCAACTTTCCTGTATCTTTAGAATTTTTTATAAGAAAAGGTGCAAAAATAAAGATCATCTGTATAAATGGAACAAAGACTTCCTTCTCAGTCCTAGAGTCTTTTCCCTTCCTAACCTACCCGTGCTTTCCCACCTTCTTTTCACCTGATACTGCCTTCTTTTTCTCTTCCCCGACAGCAGGAAAGTCAAACACAGTTTCTACCTTCTCAGTCTATGGGGAGAACTGGGTTGTCTAAGATGAAACTTTTATTAATATTCATCCATGACTTTTATTAAAATGTAGACCTCCTTTTGTATTTGTTGCCATTTGAAATTTCCCTAATGTGTTTTCTTCTACCTTATTGCTGAGTCCAGACCTCAAGCCAGTCTTCTCCTCCTTAGAAGAAAACACATGTGCCGTGTACACACATGTGAGCACACCCACACAAGTACACACACACGCTCGGTTCCCCCTTCCCTCCTCCTCCCACTGCACTGAGTCAAAGCCCGGCTGGCCCTATTAGAATGGAATAGTGGCGATGAACAGACCACACGCACACTCTAAGACTGTCTCCTTGGAAAGAAATTGAGAATTCATTCATTGACATCTCCCCAGGGAAAAGTGAAGTGAAATTGTGTCATTCTCAGACACTCACATAATTAAATTAATGTGAAATTAAAACCAAAATGAAATACTCCTCTTCACATTAAAAGTAGTTCACTGGAGTAGTCCGTGTACAATCGGCTGCCTCTGCCGCACATTATTAAGTGATTTAAAAGATTAATTTGAACACAGATCACAGTTTCAGCAGTTATTATGCTAACATTAAGCAAATAAGCATGCTGCCTCAGAAAGCAGCGGATGGTTGCAGAGCAGAGGAAAGGAACAGAAACATCTTGTCTTGCCACAGGCAGTACAATCGCGTCCATTTTCCCTGCTTGGGTTTGCAGTGTGCATGTGAGTCTTTAATTCATGAAATATTAGGAAAGCATCCTTTTCAGGAAGTGAAAGCCTGAACTTGACAGACATATAATCTCATCTAGAATGACAACCAGCGAGTGCCTAAACCACAAATATTCATTTCAACAATTTGCAATAATCTACCATGTGCACGCCAAAGCATTCTAGACAGAATGAACAGTAGCAGGCTGGTCTTCTGCCTCATAGCATTTTCCTCTAAAAACACCCATAATCAAATGCTAAGAAAATATATGCCCTAAGCCCTGAAACAAAAAATGTGAATGCAAATGATGCCAGAGTAATGTTCTCTCTGGGCAGATATGTGTAAATCTAGTTTGCATATGGAAATCAAGATTGCTTTGCTTCTCTGCACAACATTATGCTAAAACAAAGGTTAACAATCTCTTTGACCGGGATCCACCAGCAGATAGGAGACTATCAGTGACAATGAATGACACAAGCTGGCCTCAGACAGGAGTGGAGAATACAGATAGAGGAGGAGGAGACAGGAACAAAGGGTTTCGAGCTGGGGTCAGGAACTCTTTTTGTAAAGGGGCAGATAGAAAATATTTTCAGCTCTGTGGGCCATATGGTCTCTGTTGCAACTACCCCCTCTGCTATTGTGGTGTAAAACCTGCCATAGACCATAGACAATCCATAAATGGATGGGTGGACCATGTTCCAATAAAACTATATTTATGGACAGACAGTGAAACCTAAATTTTAGATAGTTTTCACATCTCATGAAATACTACTCACTTTTTTTTAACCACTTAAAATATGGAAACCATTCTTTGCTCACCAACTGTACAATATCAGGCTAGAAGCCAGACTTGACTTATGAGCCAGTTTGCAGACTTGATTTAGAGCATTGATTCTCGAACGTGAGCATGCATCAGTCACATGGAGGATGAGATAAAACATAAAGCCTTGGGCCTCACCCCAGAGTTCCTGATCTGGTAGGACTGGGGTGAGCCTAACCACTTGCATTTCTTACAAGTTCCCAGGTGGTATGCATGCTGTGGAGACTACAAAGGAGAACTGGTTTACAGACAAAGCAACACGAAGGAGAAAGGAGAAAAGGAGTGCCCATGTTGGCCAGGATAGGTCAGCAATAATCATTTTGAGAAAGCCTATATAAATTTCGTGCAGAAATTAAGAGGCTGAAAATAATGAACATAATAAAGTTTCAATAATCAGTAAACATCATCTCTCTGTTCTACCCTCTGCCTAGAAAAGTAGATATCTCTTACACTCAGATATCCCTTACATCCTTCAAATCTTTGCTCAAATGATACCTTCTCTGTGAGGCCAATTACCCCAAGCACCTATTAACATCCTGGTCTGCCCCACTAGCCACACCTACTGCAGTCCCCCCTCATTTCTCAGCAGTTATCACCTCTAACACGTGATGTAATTGACCTGGTTATTATGTTTATTGTTTATTGTCTTCCTCTCCCCTCACATAGCTCCTAAATTCCTAGATTATAAACTCCACTAAGTCAAGGAAAACAGATGAACATATCTAAATCCCAAGTGTTGAGAAACATCCCTAGCACTTTTATAAGCACTTAAATATTCTCTTTTTTATATTTCAAAATATTACAGGATCGCTTAAATATTCTTGAACACATGAATGTAAACGCAATACCAATCTATTTGGGTTTAAATAAGAAACCATAGAAAGGGTGACATTTTCAAGAATTTAAATACAACTTTTTACTTGTTCATAGTGCATCTCAGAGACCACAGAAAGAAACTGAGGATGCTGCCAGGCACAGTGGTTCACACCTGTAATCCCAGCACCTGGGGAGGCTGAAGTGGTAGGATCACTTGAGGCCATGAGTTCAAGACCAGCCAGAGCAAGAGTGAGACTTCCCAACCCCTGTCTCTACAAAAAAAAAAAAACCAGAAAAATTAGCCTACCATGGCAGTGTACACCTGTGGTTCCAGCTACTTGGTTTGAGGTTGCAGTAAGCTATGTTGACACCACTGCACTCCAGCCCAGGCAACAGAGCAAGACCCTGTCTCAAAAAAAAAAAAAAAAAATTAAGTGCATATTTGACCGTATTTAAAAAAAAAAAAAGAAAGAAAGAAAAGGGAGAAAGAAAGTGAGAATGCAGTCTTCTGTAAACTTTATAATTTGGGGCTGCAAGTTTAGTCTCGAGCACCACAGTTGAGCATTAGAAAGAGCCTGGGCAACCCTCTCATCCAACCACTTCCTGTTATAGCAGTTCATTGTCCTAAACTTCAATCCATCCAAAAATCCTAATTTCATGACCACTACTGTCTTAATCTGTTCAGGGCAACATAACAAAATACCATAGACTGGGTGGTTAACTCACAGAAATTCCTTTCTCATAGTTCTAGAGGCTGGAAGTCTAAGACCAGGGTGCCAGTGTGGTCGGGTTCTGGTGAGGACCCTCTTCCTGTCTTGCAGATGGCCCAGATGACCGCCTTCCCTCTGTGTGCTGACAGACCCTTCCCTAGGAGTGAGTGAGCAGAAGGAGACAGAGCAAGCTCTCTGGTATCGCTTCTTACAAGGGCACTAATCCCATCATGAAGACCCCACCTTCGTGACCTCATCTAACCCTAATTACCTCCCTAAAGCTCCATCTCCAAATTGGCAGTTAGAGTTTCAACATCATTCAGGCCATAACAACCACCTTTTGTCTTCTCCCTCTTCTCCCTGTAGTACCAACTCCATTAATTATTTAACAGTAGCAAGATTTACCATCTAGGGATCCCACCACTTTTCAATATACTTCTCCTTTCTGATGTCCTCATTTTTCTACCGATGTAGCTTAAATTCCATGGTTATTCCTTTAAAGTGTCCCCTTAAAAATACATTCTAAACCACCAGAATGCCCCCCATCATCCTGTCAGGTGAGTGTTATTATTATAATATCTCCATTTGACAGGTAAGAAAATTGAAGTACAAGAAGAAGGTCCCAGCCTGGATTCAAGCCCAGACTCCAGAGCCTCTGTGGTTTCTTGTTTTATTAACGTTTATCCACCTGGTCTTTTATGGCACTTCGTTCATTAGTGATTACACTAAAGAAGTTGTCTAACCTGTGCTGCTGCTCCCAGTGTGGCCCCAAGACTGTGCCTTTGGGGAACTGTTTGTCACCAGTCCTCGACAAGGTAGGTTGAGAAAAGAGATCCAGCCTTTAGAAACATAATTCAGCAGAGTAATTTTATGTCTGTTGACTCTAGTAATAAAAACTGATGTTTCATTGTAATACATATTTTTATTTAATCTTTCTAGCAATTCATTTAATTGCATTTTATGGATATAACAGTCCAGGATGGATTTGAAATTAAAAAACAAACTAAACCATTCTGTTTCACAGATAATTTGAAAAGCACTAGTTTAAACAACTAAAAGAACATTTATTTATTCTAGTGTGTTCTGGATTCTACTTATATTAAAAGAGAAAACCTCTCCTGTGTGATTATTGGGTCTATGAGCCAATATGTTCAATGTAAATGAGACAAATAAATTTAATTAATACAGAAAGTCAGCCCAAAGCCTTTTGAAATAAAAAAGTATTCAATATCTTTCTCAATGTTTTTTTCCTAACTCTTCACATCCACCTTGTAATAAGTCTTTTCACCTGACTCTGTGAATTATTATCATTATGAAAATATTTTCCATTCCATGAAAAATAAGATTTTGACTTTTTTTTGCCTATTCTGCTATGTATGCCATATTTTTTTCTTGTTAAAACTTAAAACTACTACTTAGAACAAAGGAAAAGCACATGGTCTTGTCTTATAGTTTTGCTTGGATTGGAGCATTTCAGACTTGACTGTGCATCTTAATCACCTGGACAGCTTATGAAAACACAGACTCCTGGGCCCCCGCCCCAAAGATTCTGATTCGGTAGGTCTGGGACTGGCCTGTGAATTTGCCTACCTACCGAGTGCCCAGGTAGTGCTAATGCTATAGATACACCCACAGTATTTTGAAGATCACCAATGTAGATAATACCAAAATCACCAAGATTATTTTGTGAATTCAATCAAAATATTAATTCATTGAATTTTTGTATGGTAAATATTTTTGAATATTATTTAACAATTTTAAAATGTTTTTAAACAGATTTGAATTAAAACCCAAGACTTTTGAGAAGAGTCAGCTCTTGAAGATGACTTATGCCAATGCTAAACTTCACAGACTCTCAAGCACATAGCATCTTGCACATTGTAGATGCTTCCTAAATGTTTGCAGAAAAAAAAGGAAGTCAGGAAGGACAGAGAGAGCATGGGACCTCTTCTGGTTCAAAAAAACAACTGTAATCTGGAGCTACTGATATTTGGGATCATACATATCTTAATCTATTCCATGTAAATAAAATGAAACCATACTTAGCCAAATACAGTTTGTCCCTAATTTGATCCTTTCTCCAGTTCGAAAATATTGCCATGGAACCTCCTCGCATTGTTTAAGATATCATGAAACTCTCAGATCCCCACTGTAATTCTGGGCTTTCCCGTTCTCTATCCACCCCCTTTCCATGCACGGTCCCAAGGAACACACCACACACTGTCACCATCCTCTGTTTCATCCAGGCTTGGTCTGCAAGGTTGCCTTTAAAACCAAACCAAACTACTACCAAGGGGCATTAACTTTTCCAATAGGCATGCTCCTTTATCTTTGACCTACATACATATTATTTACACAAACACATTAAAATGTTCCCACCCCTGGTGACAATGAAATTGTAAATTAACTGCAAGGAAGCATTGGCCAAGAAATGTAATCGCTGATTTTTGTGAGAGGTGAAAGGTGACCTTAGGTGTGAAACTATTAGAATTCTAGAGGAAAATGTTGGAAATACTCCTCTAGATATTGGCCTAGGCAAAGAATTTATGAAGACCCCAAAGGCAATCACAACAGCAACAAAAATAAACAAATGGGACCTAATGAAATTAAAAAAGCTTCTGCACAGCCAAAGAAACTGTCAAGAGAGCAAACAGACAACCCACAGAATGGGAGAAAATTGTTGCAAGCTACACATCTGATAAAGGGCTGATAACTAGAATCTATTTAGAACTCAGGAAAACCAACAAGAAAAAATCAAACAACCCTATCAAAAAATGGGCAAAGGACATGAACAGAAACTTCTCAAAAGAAGACAGAATAATGGCCAACAAACACATGAAAAAATGTTCAACATCTCTAATCATCAGGGAAATGCAAATCAAAACCACAAAGAGATATCACTTAACTCCAGTGAGAATGGCCTTTATCAAAAAGTCCCCAAACAACAAATGATGGTGGGACTGCAAACAATTAGGAGCTGAGTGGTGACAAGCAACCCTGGAAGTTGACGTTGCATATGAAAGCAGCACACAAGACTTGGGTGAAACACTCAGAATTAGGGGAGTTCAACCTCTGTGGAAAGCAATATGGAGATACCTCAAAGCGATACAAGTAGATCTACCATTTGATCCAGCAATTCCACTACTGGGCATCTACCCAAAAGATCAAAAGTCACTTTATGAAAAAGACACCTGCACTCAAATATTTATAGCAGCACAATTCACAATTGCAAAGCTATGGAAACAACCCAAATGCCCATCAATTCATGAGTGGATTAATAAAATGTGGTATATGTATACCATGGAGTACTACTCAGCTTTAAGAAACAATGGTGATCTAGCACCTCTTGTATATTCCTGGATACAGCTGGAACCCATTCTACTAAGTGAAGTATCTCAAGAATGGAAAAACCAGCACCACACAGCAAATTGGTATTAACGGTTCAACACCTAAGTAGACATATAGAAGTAATGTTTATGGGGTGCCGGGAAAGTGGGAGCGGGGAGGAGGGGATGGGTATATACAACCACAATGAGTAAGATGTGCAGTGTTTGGGAGATGGGCACGCTTGAAGCTCTTACTCAAGGGGGAAAAGGGGCATGGCAATATAAGTCACCTTAACACTTGTACCCCCATAATACACTAAAATTAAAATAAATAAATAAAAAGAAAGAAATGTAATAGCAAACTCTACCATTCTTTGATCTATCGCTCCCTTGGATTCCTGTTCATTCTGGTTAGTAATGAATGTGTTTTGTAAACTGATAAGGGAGTTTCCCTCACTTGGTCGTTAAGCTATCAGCTTCTGTAGAAATTGATGGGAACTCTCGGAAAAACAAAAACAACTCAAAGTTCTAAGGTCCATTACACCCCAAATGTCAGTTTATTTTAAAGGGACTTCTGGCTGTCCATTGCTTTATATATGGCAGTGGCTGTATATAAAGAATTCGGATGCTTGGATATTGAAAGAAATTAATTGCAACTTCTACTGTCTCATATTGTTTGGGCTACTTGGAACTGTTTTGTTATCCCCAGGAGAAATATCATTAAAAATAGCTTGCATTGCATAAGCATAAATAAATACACTCTTCCTTCAGAGTTGATTCCCCGTGATGCAGAGGCATGAGAAAGCCTATTCATAGTGCCTTTTGCATAGACACGCATGAGCATTTAGCCAAACCCATCTTTGGTTGGGGCACCCATTATCAATCTCAGAGTAGTAAAATTCCAGGACAAGTAAATTAATTTTCCCTCCATCTGGGCAACACTTACTTAGGTAAATAATGAGTGACTTGAAAGAGTTCATTTCCCTCCAAGTTCTGGCAATTAGTCCATGGGACTATGGATTTTTGTGGGGGAGGCCTCTGTCGCTCAGGCTGAAGTGCAGTGCCGTCATCATAAGACACTGTTGCCTCGAATTTACAGAATTCGTTAAGTTGAAAATATCTCATTTACTAGGAAAGCTGGTGCAAACATTATATAGGTAGAGACTATTTAATTGACCAAGTTTTCTACATAAACTGATGTAAAGTTCTCCTGGGAATTAATTTTCTCAGCAGTAACCTGACACCTTTTTTAAGGAACTCCCCTAATTCTGAGTGTTTCACCCCAGTCTTGTGTGCTGCTTTCATATGCAACGTCAACTTCCAGGGTTGCTTGTCACCACTCAGCTCCTAATTGTTCACCTCAACTCAACTGCAAGTAGGAAGGCTCTTGTCTTTCCATTGACAAGCTTCTCAAAGGAACATGATTAGAATAAACATGACTTCATGAAGTTTTTCATGTTTGGGGATTTTTCACGGGGTTTGGGGTGGTTTTTTTTTTTTCAGTTTCTTATTTTCTGAAATTGTCATGACTTCTGTTTGGTGTCATTCAGGTGACCCAATCTACTATTCTAGGGTCTTCCAACAATGTTTGAGGCAGTTTCATTTCAAAAGTTTCATATAGCTGATGAAACTAACCTGTTGTTAAGAGTGTAGTTTGGTCTCTAATTCAATCTCCGATAGAGGCATCCTCTCCCAATAGATGTGCTGAAGTCTTCTGAATTAACCCATTCATCAGTTTATTGTTACGGAATATCCAAGCTAGCAAGTAGGCATCTTTAATCCCTTTATTATTTGATAATATATAAAAATATTACCCAGTTCAATATTTTATCTTAAGCTATCTCAGACTTGTTATTCATCCAAGACCACTTTTACAATCCTTCAGCAAACCTTGCATGTCCAAGCAACTAAATAAACATTGAATTTATGCTAATATAGAGTCAACTTAATAGACCGCCACCCACCAGCCATCTGTACCATACACCATCATTCTTCCTGACACCTGTGAATTACAAGTTCAACCAGTGGTTGCGGCAACGAATCCAAGAGGTTACTTATTCATGTTTTACTGCCTATAAATTTTATAGAAAAGGAAATTGAGACCTGGAGAATTTAACTAATTTACACAATGGAACAATAGTTGCAAGGATTATAATTGAGTCTTTGCTCTCATTCTACTTATTTGATCCAAGTAAGGAACCCTACCCAATATTCAGCCAGAGTGCATATAGGTGGGGAATGAGAAGGAATGGGAAATGAATCCTAGTACCAGGGACAGAGGGAAAATATAGATGTGTAAAAAGAATATATATATTATATACATATATACATAATATATATTAATATATATTATATAATGTGTATATGTATATATGCATAATATATATACATAATATATATTGTGTAAATAAAATTGTAAATTGTATTTCATATATGTAAAAGGGATACATAATTATAAATAGTATGAAATAACATTTAAGATAAAATTAGCGTATGGAGAAAAGTAATCATGCACATATCAAAAGAATACAGAAAGTGGAAAGAAAAATACATTCTATACAAAACTAAGGCAGAAATGTTGCCAAAGGGAGGAAAAACTAAGAGGGAGAAATTGTTCATATATTGGTCACATTTACACAGTGGCCTTTAGATGTTTTAAAAAATTCAACCCCAATTTTATTTTCACTGCAAAACAATATGTGTCCCAGAGTATGCCCTCAATAAATGTTTGTTGAATTGAATTTAAATTACTTTCGTTTGGCAAGATTACTTCTTTTTCATAGTGCTCAGAAGGAAAAATCATTAAATGGATTTTTATCCTGCCTTTCATAAATGTCTTCATAGTGATGCCCACTTGATTTTTCCTTTGCAAAATTATTATGTTTTGCTTCTGTCTGTTGCAGCTGCCTTCCCTGCTCCTGTGCTAACACTGTAAGTAAGAAAGACCTGCCGAGTCCCTACTGTCAAACTTCAAAGATCTCAGCAAACAACATCAAGTGTCTTGAATCCAACCAGCTTCTTCAAGGAGCCAGCTGAACCCAGAGCTTTGTATGTTATTGCTGTTGTTGTTCCATTTCAACCACCCCAGGCAGAAAAGAACAGAGTTCCAGAGTTTGCAAATGCCTTGCCCATCATTAGAAACCAGAAAAATCTGTCTTTAGAACTCCAGTTGGAGAAATCATTGCAATCAGACCTTTCAATGATGGGTGGGCTTAAAGATCCACTTAGGATCCTACCAGTCTTTAGAATTGTATTTGATACAGTGTGGGTTCTTGAAAAGTTTACATGAATAAGTCGAACATGAACTCACCACTTTTCTAAGTAAGGATTGCTGTCTCAAAAGGCTTTGAATATAGCTTAGGATTCATTCTCGCCCACATTTCACAAAATCATACTAAGCAAGAGAATTTTATGTTTGGAAGAAATTTTCTTAAGCTTTCTTCTTCTTTTGATCTGTCACATGATTAGGGTGGGGAAAGAGTAACTGACCTGACATAGGATAGGTTTCTACTTCTTTAAATACACAGCATTCTCGCCCTTTGCCAAACATGTGCATAATAAGCAAAGTTTAGAATGGGTCAGAGAAACCATCTGGTCTCACCTTCTAAATTTACCAATGAGAAATTCTAGGCCCAGAGAGATTAAAATCCTCTCCTGAGTAAAAAAGCCAGAATTAGAAATGAAATCTAATGGCTCCCAGATGGTTCTTTCTTCCTCTATAACAT